ATTTCATTCTCATGGCTGAGAGTAGTAGAGTGGCAGCACCGTGAGCCAGCCCTGCAGCTCAGCCCGCAGCACAGAAGCTGGCCCCCACCGTGGATCCTCTTGGCTTTGTCTCCCCACTGCTCTCCATCCTGGCTCAGACAGCTTGGTGGAGGGGGCTGCACTCAGAGCCCTGTCCACCTGCCAGAGCAGGAGCATCCGGGCACTGGGGCCACAGAAGCCGATGGGTAGGATGGCTGCAGCAGCCTTAGCATAGGCTCCTGCAGGCTGGGGTGTTTCCCAGATTCGGGAGTGGGATACCCCCATTCTTCCCTGGGTTGAAGTCACATCCCCTTTAGCCTATCAGGTAATGTTTATTCCAAAATAGCCTGCAGCATGCCTGAGTGACCTGTGTAGGCCGTAGGGGTTCTTCATGTCCAGCCAGAGGGCCGCCCTCTGATGCCTTAGCTGGGTGCCCAGAGGCTGTGCATGGCCTAGCTGAACAGAAAAGCAGACTTGAGTTTCCTTGTCAGTGGCCTGGCAGAGAGGCTTTGTTCTGGGGAGCTGCACCCCCACACACTCCCCAGGAAATATTTTCCTGGGTGTCCTGAAGTCTCCTGATTTGGTTTGCCTCTCCCTCTTGGCTTGTGGCTGGGTGTCTGGGCCAGGGAGATAGCTCAGTGGCATAAGCGCCTGCCTGGCGAGTACAAGGTAAAAAGGGAGAGAAAAAAAAAAAGGCTGGGTGTCTTGGGTGTCACTTGAGTTTGATCCCCGGTAAAAAGGGAGAGAAAAAAAAAAGGCTGGGTGTCTTGGGTGTCACTGCTTCCCCGTGTACCCCTAGAGCCACAGGTGAGGTGCTGGAATCTTGAACAGGGCAGCTGTTCCTTCCTCTAGTGTCTGTTTATAGACAGAAAGATGAAGGCAGGGTGTGATGGTAGGGACTTGTCTCGGATTCGGCAACCAGTTAGCACTAGAATGGAATTTAAAGCCCAGTTTCCTTATGCCAGGTCCTGCCATCCAAGACAGGAGGGAGGGCTCCAACCCGCAGCGGTGTTGATGGAGTTGGTCTGCCCTGCCCTGGCTGCCTGGATGTGCTCTAGAACCTCCTAAAAATGCGTTTGTGAGACTGTTAATGCACACACTTCCCACAGGGGGCTGGAGGTCACTCTGGTTCACAGCCAGCGGCGGCCGCCCTCACAGTCACCCCAGCACCACCTTAAGCTCATCAAGTCTCAGTGCTGCAGGCACCACCCCAAAACCTTACAGCAGCACCCTGATTGTTCTCTGTGCAACCTAGAGAAACGCTGTGCAGACAGAATATAGAACTATTTGAAGAGAGTGGCTCCTTCTACCAAGAGAAGAGGATGGGATGAGATGGGGTGCCCCAGAGGGGCTGCCGCCTGTAGCCCTGCACTGCTGCCGAATCTCCAGCTAGAAAGGCACAAGGTTCACAGGCGCGAAACAGCATGGAGGGCTCTCCGGCTCGTGAGTGCGTGAAATAGGCTGCGTTTAACTTTTATTTATTTATTTATTTATTTATTTTTGGTGGAACCGGGGATTGAACTCAGGTCCTTGCGCTTGCCAGGAAAGTGCTTATTCCACTGAGCCATCTCCCCGGCCCCCAACATTTTTAAATTTTTTTTAATTATATACTTTGAAGATCATATTCTAATCGTTCATCGGGAACTTGTAGGACATCCCTTGCTGAATCCGTCGCTCTCCAAGTTCTCAGCTGGCCATGGCTGGTCTCCAAGGGAGAGTACTTAGGAATGCAGCTGCCGGTGACACAGGTTTTGCAGGGTGGTGTCACAGTACTGAGGTTGGGGTGGCACAAAAGTGAAGCCACAGGCTATTGACCCACAGTCTGTCCCTCCATCTACGCGTCTGCTTCCCTTGTGACCTCACCTTCATTGTTAAAGTCTCCAGTCCGCTTGCTTCCCTTCTGGAAAGCAGGGATTTTACAGATGTATCCGTCCTGCCCCCACCCTGCAGCGACATCCCCGCAACTGAGCTGGCTTCAGTGGCGGCTCTGCTCACAAGAACTCACCCCTGCTGAGCTGTCCTTGCCTAGGGAAGGACCTGGAGGCTGCCTGCTCTTTCTTAAAGGTCACTATCTTAGTTAGGGACCCTGTTGAGACAACAGCCTTGGTACGTGCTGGTCTGTGGGAAAGGGACTGAAGTTGGTGTCATGAGGCCTTGCTGATGGACTTAACGGTATAAATAGCCGTCTGAGAAACAGAAGAGAACATTTTGCATTTCCAGCCAGAAGAACCCATGATACTTTATGTCCTATTAAAAAGTTGAGCTTCTCCAAAATAAATAAAATCCTGATTCCTGACTTGTAGCTCAGAGCTCTCAGCATAATGGGGGCCAGTACTGTCGGCGTGCAGTGTCAGGGATTCCAGCCCTGAATGTTGCAAGAAGGACCGGGGGTCATTGGTCCAGCACAAGCCTGAGCAGAGCTGAAGAAGCAGGTCCATGTGGCTTACCTTTAGACCTCTGGCCTCAGTTCCTTCCTTGATGCACGCTTTGGCTTCCCTGAACTTTAGTGGCCGGAATGCCACTGAGGAGAGGCATCCTTTCTGCTCCCAGTGTGGGTTGTGCCCACATTCGTAGGTGTGAGCACGGGCAGCCTTGCTCCCAGGAGGTCGGTGTCTGGGCAGAAGGCTGTTCCCCACCTGTGTCCCCCCTCAAAACAAGCAGGACAGGGGGCCACAGTCTGACGAACAGGATGGGGGTGCAGAGGCAGCCTGCCAGGTGAGCCATCACCTATGAAACTGAATTCATATACCTGGTGGGGACGCAGAATGTTCTGTTTCAGTTTTGAAATTTAAAACCTTTTCTAAAAAGAAGTGAGTGATACATCCTTTTGCTCCTCTTACAGTGGAACCTGGTGTGTAAGGACGACTGGAAGACCCCACTCAGCATGTCCCTGTTTTTTGTGGGTGTGCTGATGGGCTCCTTCATCTCGGGGCAGCTCTCAGACAGGTAAGGTGTCTGTCTCCTGCAGCTTCAGTCTCTAGCCCTGAGCAAAAAGTGTGTGCCTGGCCTTGACGTCATCAGTAGCGCTCTCTCAGACCAGGGGCTTGCACTTTAATGTGAGAGGAAGCTGCCCAGTATAGGCTTCTTGCCAAGTGAAATGCCCAAGAATCTCTCACCTTGCCCCTTAATTCCTGCCGGGTGAGGAGAGCCGGGTGTCCAGGCCAGCTGCACCGTGATGCAGTGACCAGGCAGTGGGCCACTGTCCCGTCTGCAGTCACATTGCTCGCCTTCCCTGAGTGAGCACAGCACTCCCGTGTCCTTGCACACGGGAGAGGCTGGTACCACGCACCCGAGCGCATTCCCTGCTTTGCAGAGCCTCGGGCAGTACCGCTGCGAACATCTCTGTTTTCCCGAGACCAGTGTTTTCCATGCACTATGAGGTGAGATCTCACTACCCCTCAGGGCTACAAGGAGTAGAATTCTTCCCTTCGCCAGCCTGAGGCCCCTTAGCTAAATCACAGGTGGTTTATTTTGTTTTATTTTTTGTATTGGAAATTGAAACCAGGCTGTCACCAGCCTCAAACTTGCGGTGATCCTCCTGCCTCTGCCTCCCAAGTGGTGGGATCACAGGTGTGCTCCACCGTGTCCAGCAATTCCGAAGCTTTTAATTTAGGGTCTATTGATGGTTTAGGAAATCCAAAAACACTGAAATTACGTAGTAATAAGTAGTAGAGATGGTTTGCAAGCCCTTTTTTTGAAGCAAGTTTTCATGAAGTCTCAAAGGCCTCCATTTTGTTGTGTCTTCCCATCCTAGTGTTTCAGAGTCTGTCGTGGAAGCTTGAGATAGGAAGAGTGGCATTTAGCAGGTCCTTGGCCACAGTAGCACAGACAGAACACCCTTGTAATCAGTAGGTCACCCAGCAGAGAGGAGTCCCATTATCCTCCCCAGAATTAGAACATTATCCCCCTAAGGGACAAAGACACTTTATCCTGTATCTGAGGAAGCTGAAGGATGCCATTGTGTCATAATTGATGCCTATCCATTTTTGTCACTTTTTTCACATATTTTATGAAAAATATAATAGGTGCATTTCCCTAAAGGATCCTATGGTGACTAAAAACGGAGCAATTCCCACAGTCACCAGTAAGTATTGGAGCTCTGTAGACCATGAGGTACTTGCCCCTTTGGGGAGAAGACCTTTGCTCCTCTGCATCTTTAATCTAGCAGCAAGTATCAGTTATTTACTTCTATTGGCTTACCAAACATGCAGCACATAATATGTGTTACCCATTGTTACAAGTACTGCACGGCTTGAAAACAAACTCATAACCCTATGATGGAATATGCTAGCTTCCCACGGTTGGGGCAGCATACTGGAGAAAGTCAACTCAGAGGAGGAAAGAGTTACTTTGGCTGACGGTTGCAGACGCTCTGGGTTGCAGTCGCTTGGGCCCATTGCTTCTGGGTCTGTGGGGGGCAGGCCGCGCTGACAGAACCAGCAGTGCATAGGGCGGCCCGGAAACAGAGAAAGCTCGCTTTCAAACAGGCCCCTTCCCCAAGCCCATGACCCTGTGAGTCCCTAAGTGGATTAATCCATTGATAAAATGAGAGCCAGTTACCGTAGGCCTCACCTCTGGACACTTCCATCAAGCACCAAGCCTTCAACGGTGAGCTTTTGAGGGATATTTAAGATTTAAACTCCAGGGGCCAGGGAGATGGCTCAGTAGAATAAGAGCTTCCCTGGCAAGCTCAAGGCCTGAGTTCAATCCCTGGTTCCATAAAAATAAATAGATAAATGAAATAAAAAATAAACTCCGTGAGTTCAGTACCCAGCACTCGCCTCCCCCAAATCCCTTCCCATCTTTTTATTTATTTATTTGTGGGGGGGGCAGCTCAGCCCACCAGGGGGCGGGGCTGGCTGGCATGTGGTGCTGGGGGATTGAACCGCGGTCCCTGTGCTTTGCTAAGCTTGTTCTAAGTAGGTGCTTTAGACCACTAAGCCATCTCACCAGCCCACCCTTCCCATCTTGTAAGTGGGAAGAATGAAACATGGAGGTTAGGAAACACGCCCAACGTCACAGGGCTGGCAAGCAAGTGGCTGGAGGAGGGTTTGGGACCCAGATAGTCACGCTCCTCCATGTTGTATAGATGAACAGTAAAAGTTCCACTCTCCTAGAACTTGCCTGCTATAAAGGCAGGACGGGGGGTATTAAACAAATGATTGAGAAAGCAAGTATTGTTGGCTGTGGAAAGTACTACAGAGAACCACAGGGTGCTAATGGGAGCATCTAAGTGGAGGAAAGGAAGGCTTCCCTGGGAAGGGAAGTACGAGCTGAGCGTTGGAAGATGAGCAGAAATTAGCCGGCTAGCAGGGCCAGGGGAAACTAGGCAGTAGAATGGCATGCACCAAAGCCTGGGAGGGAAGCGTAAGGACAAAGAAAAGTCCCAAGCAATAGAGATGCAGATGGCAGGTAGACAGAAGTACACGCAGAATTGGGAAGGGCTTAGAAGACCACCATGAGGAGCTTGGGCCCTGTCATTGAGGAGCAACTGAGAATGTATAAAACAGAACTGTGACAGCAGATTGGCTTTGCTTTTCTCTTCTTTTCCTTTTCCCTAGTACTAGGTATTGGATCCATGGTCCTCACACTAAACTATACCTCCAGCTTTCTGTTTTGCTTTTCTTTCTTTCTTTTATCAAGATCTCACTGGGTGGCTAGGTGACCCAGGCTGGGCTCAACTTTGGTAATTCTCCTGCTTCAGCCTCCCAGAGTACTGATATTACAGGCTACAGGCATGCACCATACCCAGCTAAATTTGTATTTCTATTTATTTATTTGGTACAGGGTCTCACTATTTAGCTGAGACTCATAGTGATCTTCCTGTCTAAACCTCCCTAGTGCTGAGATTACAGGCATGCACCACCACGCCCAATTTCAGCACTGGCATGGCACACCTGGGGTTCCAGGCCTGCTCGGCATACAGTACTGGGGATTGAACCTGGGGCTTTGCATTTGCCAGGCAGTTGCTTAGACCACCAAGCTGTCTCCCTAGCCTCAGATTTGTTTTTTGTTGTTGTTGTTGTTTTTTGCCGAACCAGGGATTGAACTCAGGCCCTTGCGCTTGCCAGGAAAGCGCTTATTCTACTGAGCCATCTCCCCGGCCCCTAGCAAGTGATTTTTATGTGCAGAAAAGATAACTGAATTAAGTTGGAACATACTGTAATTGGAGGTAGGACCCCTAAGCTGATGAATTAGGTATGTGGCCAGATATGTGGATATGGTACTCTGTGAGAGGTTCAGGCTGAAGAAGCAGAGTTGAGAATTACCAACCATGTAGAATCCACATCCAAACCCCAAATGTGAATGAGATGACCAGGAGCGAGCGAGAAGGAGAAGAGAAGGGACAGGACTGTGCTTAGGGACCCTCCATGTGGGGAGGGGTACACCCTTTCCTAAGGCAGAGTGGCAGCCGCGGCTCAGGAACTGCACTGGTGTGAAAAACGAGGAGGTACTCTGAGTTCAGAGTGGAAACTCTACACTCCTCGAGCCGAATGTGTCTTGGCTTACGTGGATCCTAGCAGGCCGGCTTATGAACCTGTTTATCATGTAGCACCGTGATCGCCCAAGGAAAATGTTTATGTTCCAAAAGGATTAATTACTCCTGTGGAAACAGGATTCGGGAGTACATTGAGAACTGCCTCAGCCCATCGAAGGGCTGACTGGCGTACATAGTGTGTCTCAAATCATTTTTTAAAATTTGGCAGCAGAACTTTCTTTTAAACAGGGTCATTTAAGTCCAATAAATGAAATAGCAAAATAATATGCCTGCAGCTCAGAGCAGCCCAGCTCCAGCTCATCCACGCCCCACGGTGGCTGAGGGCGAAGCTTCTCGCCTTATCTCTACACCACTTCTGAAACTTCAGCCACGTAGTCACCTAGCTACAGAGTCGTGCTCTCAACTGTTGTTGAGGATATCCGCGGGGACTTTTTATATGGGACAAAGGTTTATTTAGCCTTCTTTCTGCCACATTATTAAGTCTGACATTTAGCAGTAATTAAAATACCCCTGAGTTGCCGAAGCCTTTCATCTGACATTATTGAGTTATCTTTATTACTTATGGGAGGCGCAGTACTTGAAAGAAGTAGAGCGATGTTCCCTGTTTTTGTAGACAGGTATGTGCCTGCCATTTGGTTGATTGAGTTTGAAAAAGTAGGCATTGGGGCTGGGGAGATGGCTCAGTGGAATAAGCGCTTCCCTGGCAAGCACAAGGGCCTGAGTTCAATCCCCAGTTCTGCAAAAAAAAAAAAGGCATTTCTAGTGCCAACCCTGACTGCCAAGGGCTAGTGGACCTTTCTTCTTTACGATCCACAGGAGTGCTTGGGAAGGAGAAGGTGCAGAGGTGGTACCAGTCTGCCCTGTGGACCACCCCTTAATGGCATGTGGAGCCCCCTTGGTATAGAGCAGAGCAGGTGGAGTGGGAGTTTCCTGCTGTGTAGGGAGCCCTTTTTGATCCTGGTAACTGTCCAGGAAGTTTATATTTGTAATCCCATGGATAAGTTACTGGAGTCCCATTGAGTTAATTCCAATCCACTACTTCCAGTGCAACCCACGGCAAGAATAAAGACACTAAGGCATATTTATAGTTATGAGCCAAGGGGTCCTAAGTCCAGCCATGGTAATGGCTATCCGGAACAAAGGCCTTGACCCAGGGCTGAACCCAGGTTTTATTCAGTCATGAAGGAGGAGGGGCTTGAGGATGAGTGACTGAGAATGGCAGGAATTCCTTGAGTGCTGTGAGCGGGGCTAAGTAGGAGGCCTGCATTTGCCTCTGTCAAATGCAGAGAAGGATATGCAGAAAAAGTGATTTGCATTATACTGTTGAGATAGTATCTAATGTTTTGGGGTCCAGCACTTCAGCTCTGATGTGTAACCTTTCAAGCCCCGGGAAGTCATAGCCTCTGTCTCCAAGCCCCATCCCAGCTGACAGTGTGGAGCGCTGGCTCTTTGTCCTGTCCCGACCTGGCTCATAGTAAGGAGCAGCAGGTGTGAGTTATCAGGGAAATACGTGTGCCGTCTTCAAAGACTACACCAGCTCCCCAGCCAGACCAATGTGCATTGCTCAAAGCCAGGTGAAGGGACGAGGGAAAGTCCTAGCCAGCTCTGTGCCTGTCAATACATGGAAGTGGGGTCAGGCGCAGCCCAAATGGCACAACTGCTCTCCTCTCAAGGACAGTCGCCCATGTGGTCCTCCACACTTTAGACCTGGCTTTTTCAGCCTCAGCCCTCGTGTTCCTTTGCTGTGGGGGGAGGGGGCGTTACCCTGGCCATTTTAGAATATTTAGCAACATCTCTAGCTTCTACTTAACAGAGGTCCGTGGCACCCCCTCCCTGACTTGTGACATTCAGAGCACAACTCGCAACACAAGCCGTTGCAGTAAGGAAAAGCAGACTCACGGAGCTGAAAGGTCTTGTGCAGTTTGGCTGCTGCCTTCCTCGGAAGCCCTCAGTGCCCAAGCAGCGCCAGCTCTGCCAGCTCCAAGCCCTTCGAGCCGCTTCTGGTTACAGTGACGTGGGTTCTTCTCAGTGTCGTGAGCCCCACCCCACCCCCAGGACTCTTCCTCCAAGTGCGGGCTGACTCAGGTGACTTTTATGTTACTCTCATTCCTGTGACTTGGCATCATTACACAGGCAAATTGATGAATAAGTTGCCCCAGGACTGATGTTGTTCTTCTCCACTAGGCTACGAGTGTCTTTGAAATCTTGGTCCTGTGTTCTCAGACCCCCATCGTTAACACTGGCTTTCCCTCCGGGCCTCATCGGTATCCCATTTCATATCTGAGCATCTTTTTCTAAAAGTTATTGACA